AAGTAAGCATATTTCTACCAGATTTTTGAACATCTGGACATTTGTCTAAGCATTCTGGTCCTGGGCAGGGCTCTATTAATTTGTATTCTACTGAGAGAAGTTATTCCCCTTTTCCATTCACCTTTGATAATTAATCACTGTAAATAATGTATTTGAAAGATTAATAGAATAAGATAATTATGCAAGAAGGTTTATCGTATAATTCAAAAAGTACTTTCTTAGTTTTAATAATCAGACAGACCTGTAAGTAATAGATAAATAAAAATGAGACAAAAATAACTTATCTTATTAAAAGTTCTTCAAAGACCATAAGAGAGGTCAATGCTAGAGGTCTTAATATCGGTTTAAAAATAGTACAGAAGCATTAATAGTTTGTTAATAGTCTGCATGGTGATAGTGTTAAGTGGGGGACAGATTAGAACTTAAGTTATGAGTTGATACTGAATACTAGACTAATTATTTTGTTGATCCTGATCTTCCTTCTTTTCTTGCTTTAGGGCAACAAAGCTTCATCTATCAGTGTATTTAACTTCTAAATTGTTGTATTATACTCAGGTGACCGTTAAGGCCCTTGGGCCTCTTGTTTTTATTCATATTACATTATATTAAGAAGCGAATTGATTTTTAAGAATCTTTCGTTGTGGGTTTTTATTTATTTATTTATTTATTTATTTATTTATTTATTTATTTATTCATTTATTTTTACCCAAAGTTTATCATGTCCGGTCATATGAAAATGAGTGGAAATGTTATTTTGAAATATTCACAAAAAAGGTACACAGGTATTTGCAGAGTGAGGTACATTTCTTAATTACTAAATGATGGTGTCTGACTGTAGAGCTAAATTACATATGTAATTAAACTCTACATTTGTACTTCTAAACTGTACAGAGTTTACTTCAAATTGTCTTAAGTCCGAATAGAAAGTGCTGTCGAGGTTGGTTCTTGAAGAAAAAAAATTGCAAAAAAAAACTTTCATATGCGTGAGTGTCTTTGTATTACATGTTTACCATTTCCATGATGTAGCATTATCTAGAAAACTTATGAAGAATAGATTAATTGTTCTCATCCTGTTCTGAGTTATTCTTTTTTCTTACGCAGGTATGTTAAGGCAGTACCCAGATCATTTTTCGGCGAATTTAGACTTTTTTCGTAAAATTTATCATTGATAAATCGGAAAAGTCATAGATAAAACATTTACTAATATTTACATTTTCTGTGTATTTCTACTAAGCCAACTGTGAAATTGAAATTTGAAAGTTATTTTTGTGTATACTCACGCGTAGAAATATACACGGTGAAACTCGCGCTAAAGTGACGTCACAATGAGGCTACAGAGACGTAAATAAAAATGTAACGATATAAGGCAGCAAGAAATTCAAATATTGAGTATATAATTGGTGCTTTAAAACTTGTAAAATGTAAATATAAGGAATGATTTTAAGTTTTGTGTGAGTTATTGGTGTGTAAATCACACAGACTTGTCACGTAGGCATATTTCATGAAGCGCGCTAGACGTATAACGTTAGTCCTAGGCTAAAAGAAACACTCCACTACGACGTCATCATGTGACATCTAGAAATAGAAAAATTGCCTTAACGAAAAAGCGAAAAGTTCAACACTACCCCAACGATAATTCATTTCTTTCTGTGAAAATAATTATGTAAAAGCATCATTGGGTCTTGAAAAATACTGCTAGAATCCTACTCTCACGACTCAGAAAAAATGATTCAAAAGTTTCGTATGAAACCTTACCAAAATTTTTACATTTTGTACATACGATCAAGAAATTGTCATCAATTCATGTTAACCATACGATTCTAGCAGCACTTTCGAAGTATTATTGAATACAAGCTTTCAATACAAACAAAAATTATGTTTCAAAGTAGTGTTGAACTTTTGCATTTTTGTTGTTATAGAACGTTAGAGGAAAGGCTGATCGGGATTTCAAAACACTGCCTTACTCATTTTAAGAAAACATGATTAGAATAAGTTAGCGTACCTGACTCTTATTCTTTAATTCCTAAGAATCACACAAGACATTCATGGTATATGCTTTAAAACTCCCATTTCATTTACTTGTTTACATGGATTCTCGAATTCTCGTCACGTTAAGATTCACTCGGCAAATATTTGATCAATATTTATGACGTCATGGGTTTGGTATTTAACCCCTGTGATAAATACTTGGCTATTTATACCACCCAAAAACGACAAGAGTTAGTTTATATTATGTTTTGAATGATATCATTTATATCTTGGACCTGAAATTAAACTTTAAAGACAGATATGAAAAAATACCTACGCGGGTTTGTAGGCCATTTAAAAGTGTCCGAAAACATACCATGAAAATTAGTTATATGAATCCTCTACCTTCGTTTTATATTCTCTGAAAATTTTATAAAATTCGTCTGCATCGTTTTTGTGTAATTAAATCCCAAACATGTCATTGTTGTCGTTACATTTTCGACGTTATTCTATTGGATTATATAAGAAAAACGTCGTTTTCGGCTCGTTTTGAGGCAAGATTTTGTTTCAAAAAATATCAATAACTTTTAAATGGTGCAGACGAAATTGTTTCCCCTTTGGTATTTTAACAAAGAATTGATTTGAAATAAATCAATGTGAAAAAAATTAATATGTCTTCGGGTTGGTTTTCGCGTAATTTAAATGTGGATAATTGCTTTTATATCGCAAAATGTAACATTTTTAATAACGACGTCATAAAATATCGCGACGTCATGCTTGACGTCGTGAATATCTATCCGGTATCCAGTGCAGAAAAATAAGATAAATAATTTTTATAAACAAGAAATTCACGTCTATCTGCTTTCAAGTGACCCGTGAATCGTATCATAATAATTCAATATCAATGAAATGATTATAAGACATGCTTCTCTTCAGATTAGAGTTTTTGTACGTCTAATATTAGTGAAAATTCTCGCAAGGGACGTAAAACAATCAATCCTTTAGTTTCTTTCTTCCAATTGACTTTCTTTATGTGTTGTTTTCTTACCGTTTCTTTTCTGTTTGTTTTGTTTTGCTTTTTTCGATTTTTTAGATTAGACACATCCTTACATTTGGCTGTGTATTTTTCTTTTCCAGCTTGCTGGCGAAAAACGGTATCCTTTAATTCAAGTAATTTTAAGTATGTAAAATGTTTTTATTTAGACCATTCAGCAAGACGCTCAAATCTACGAATTTCTGCCAAATATCGTCCCGACTAAATACAGTATATTTTCAGTATCTATTTAAACAAAATATTTATTTTTACATACCACATTTTCAGAGGGGTAAATGGGACGAGGATTTAAAAATTAATTTTATCTGACGTAATCAACAGCCAGTTTTATAAAACATTAATTCTACTTGTTGGACATGGAAAGCAAAGTAACGAATAAAATATGTAGGTAACAGTATTGCAAGCTGTTGCTTAGGGGACGATCATTTCATTCGGGGGGGGGGGGGGCTTACAGATTTTGGAAATAAATAATCTGTCCTCGAAAATGTTGAAAATAAATAATCTGTCCTTGACTGGGCAAAAAATAAATAATCTGTCCATGACTACTTCTAGCACACACACACCCGGCCCCCATGGGAGTTTTCAACTTTGATGTTTTTCTTACTTTTTTTCTTCTTTTTTTAAACAATCTGATGTTTTCCTTTTTTTTTAGCTTGTCAAACTTTTTTCAGTGAAGAAGAAATAGATAATCTGTCCTTGGTTTTTTTTTTAAAATAAATAATCTGCCCCTCACCGACATGAAAATAAACAATCTGTCTCGGTAAAATTTGCCACCTCCTCTCCCTCAGAATCAAATAGTTGTCCCCTAACAGGAGGTCAATGTCGCTAAAAAAAAATTGTCTTTATGTTTCATCGTACCTTAGCAGTATTTAATTTATGATAAACTTGTAGATCTATATATTTTAAAAATATCCTTTTTAAAAACCAAGTTTAATCTTTTGATGTAACAGGTGTATTTGGGTTTTTTTTTTTAAATAATGGCTTTTTTCTTAATAAAACAAACTGATAATTCAAATACGATCAAAGGAAAATGGGTCAGTTGAACCTTGTGTCCATATCGTTTCGTGATACCAAGTGAAAACAAATCAATCGCAATTTCTCGGGCCTTTCCGACAAGCCGAAAAACAACCACTTGTTTTTCCAAGCTTGCAGGAAAGGCCCTTAAGATGCGATTGATAGCAAATAATGAAACGTTTTTTAATACTTTTAGTGCCGATCATTCGAATCGTAATAAGCCTTCTTCATTAAATTACCAATTCCAACAAAAGTTTTATCTAAGTATTGTATCAACTATACAAATCGTAAAAAGCCTTCATTATTTGTGATAAGTTGTTGCTTAAATAACATAACACTAAACTACCAATTCCAAGAAAAGTTATAGCTAAATAATGATATACTGAAGAATTTAATAAAACAAAAATCATTGCAGATTTCTTTTTCATTGTGACGTCATAATCAAATGTGCACAAGAAAGTCGCCCAAAGCATATAAATTTGCGTACCCAGTTTTAACGACGTCAGCAAACCCGCGACCTACGTTAAGTTCACGTCATAACAGCTACTATGACGTCATATCGTATTGGCATGCAATGTATCTGGGTGTAGCCTTAACATACCCGCGTAATCAATAGATTTTACTTTTTAAATGTTATTTGGTCCGTTACTTTGCACATATACTGTATTTCTAAAGAATTTAGTTTTTTCCTTGCTTAAGCTACGTTAATTTGATAAGAACAAAATAAAAATCCTCATAGAAAAAGAAATGTATTAAAATGCAGGTTGAAGACTTTAACTCTGGTCATTTATGGGGAGGTTTACAATAAAAAGATTTTAAACAGGTTTCAAGTAACACAGAAGTGAAGTTATTCATCTTTTTTTAACCTTTATCTTAACAGGATGACACTTACCATACGATGTCTTTTCAGAATAATCTCAGTATGCTATATTAACGCAAAACAAAATTTTTACTTATATTTAAGGACTTGGACTGCCCTGATGGGTTCTTTCTACGATCAGCAGGAATCTGCAAAAACAGTAAGTAAACAATTACTTGAACTATAAATAAAGCAGTCCTCTGTATTCTTTTATAGCATAATATTCTTCTTTCTTTTTTTTCAAATAAATATTTTATTTGAACAATGAATGTATTAAATTATATTTTTAAATTATATTTTTAATATTCCAAACAACCAAAATGAATTCGAATTACCATATTTATATTGGATTCCGAAACTTCATAAAAATCCTTACAAACAAAGATACATAGCGGGTTCCAGTAAATGTTCAACCAAGCTCTATCTTTACTCCTCACTAAGATATTAACAGTGATGAAGGAGAAACTTCAAGAGTACTTTGCAACAATATAATTGAGAAGTGGTGTAAATCAGATGTGGATACTTAAAAATCCCAAGGAACTTTTGGAAAATTTGAAATCTAGGGGTGAAACGATACAACTCCTTCACGGTTCGATACGTATTGTATAATTTTGTCTCGGTTCGGTTATCTTCGATACGATACATTTTGATAGAAGGAAACAAATTCAACGTTGTTTTATGCTTTCTTTTTCTAAATCTAGTCACATATTTTACGAATTTTATTTGCAAATTGACTAGAAGAAATTGATTAAAATTATTTGACTGTCAAAAATTATTTTACAAGCTATCAGTCATCAAAAATTTACGTTTTCTATACTTATTGATACTTAGTAACGTGTTTTACCTTATGCCAAACCCGACTGAATAACGATCCCGACCAAAAAATGAACCGAACCGAAAATTAGAGATTCTGCACCGTGTATCAAACCGAGAAAAAATACCGCGGTGAATCGATACCGCGGTGAACCGTTTCACTCCTATTGAAATCACAAGATTTTACCAAAATCAACAGCTTAAAAGCTTACGACTTTTCAACTTTATACACAACCATTCCCCACTATAAATTAAAGTCCAGGCTTTTTGATATCATTGACAGCTGCTTTTTCAATAAAAATGGAACTCGTTAATATACTTACCTTTATCATTGGTCATTTGCAAAATTATTTTGTTAAAAAACATTCCGATTGTACACACAAGTACTCTGAAGTTGACATTAAAAAGATGCTTGAGTTTCTGATTGACAATATCTATGTGGTTTTTGGAGACCAGGTCTTCCAACAATCTATTGGAATTTCTATGGGTACCAATTGCGCCCCGTTATTAGCAGACCTTTTTTTGTATTCATATGAAGCAGAATTTGTCCAAAATCTTGTACGTGAAAAGAAAAAAACACTTGCTGTGGCGTTCAACTCGACATTTAGATATATCGACCCGTATTGTCAATTAACAATGGCTATTTTCATTCTTATGTCGATACGATATATCCTGGTGAACTTGAGATAAAAGATACCACAGAGTCTGACACATCTGTTTCATATTTGGACATTTTACTTGAAAAAGACGTTAATGGTAATCTAACAACCAAGCTTTATGATAAACGTGATGACTTTAACTTTTCAATCGTCAACTTCCCTTACTTATGCAACAATGTACCTTCATCACCTGCATACGGGGTATATATCTCTCAGTTGATTCGATACGCAAGAGCATGCTCTACGCATGTACAATTTCTAAAACGAGGTAAATTATTGACAAATAAGTTGATGAAACAAGAATACCAGCTGTCTCGTTTAAAGTCATCATTTCGTAAGTTCTATGGTCGATACAATGACCTTGTCAGCAAATACAATTTATCATTATGTCAAATGCTGACTGACGTTTTTCATACTAATTGTTAGGCCATTATTTACACACTGAATTTTCGACGGATTTTTCCGTTATTTCCCGATCATGACAAGGAGCACACGGCGGGTGTGACCGGTCGGCAGGGGATGCTCACTCCTCCATGGCACCTGATCCCACCTCTGATGTTTCGGAGGTCCGTGTTTGCTCTGCTCCTATTTTGTATTGTATAATGGACTTTTGAGCTTGAATACTGTTCGTTATCTCCATATATTTCATGGTATCCGCGCCAAGCAATTTAGTACTTGTTCAAAAATAAAAGATCAGTTCAAGAAATAATTATAGCATTTGTTATATAAATCGTACGTATGATACATGGATATTTCGTTTGTAGAATTTTTTTTTTTCATTATTTTTGATAGTCAGGTTTTAAAAAGATTATCACGTTTATATTATAAATATTATATTTATATAAATGTTAAAGAAGTTTTCAGGAAGTTTCAAAGACACAGTTTAAAGATTTAATGATACCTGTGATAGGATCAGCAATCTTAGTACTCTCTAATGACTCCAACACGGTACAAATTTGTCGATGGCAAAAATAAGATTTTTATTAAAAATTATTCCATTTCTTCCCTTGGAAAAATCATAAGTAAAAAGGATTTCATATTAAATCTTTAAACATAAATTGTTTATTTTTGAAAAACAAGACAAATTTTTGATAAGCTACTTTTTGGTTTAAGACTTTTTATAAAAGTTTCAAGAAAACTTAAATAAGTATGTCTATTATGTAGCACGGTTTTAGATACCGGTAAACCATTTAAGGTACATGTATGTTACTTGTCAGCTTTTGAAAAGAAGTTTGGATAGAACCCCCAACTTCAAAACTTTTTTTTTTGAGACGAAACAATGCAAATTATTCAATGTTCAATTGAAAAACTGCACGAAAAATCATAAAGCAACAATTCATGGGGGAGTATTTCTTATGGTGGAAGGATATTTAGAAGACGATTCTTCGAATATACGAACTTTTTTCTAATTTAATATCTTAGAACTTACTCAGAGAATTATATATTTTTTTGTAATCATATCTAGGAATAAAGATTTCAATTAATAGAACAAATTTTACAGTCACTCAACAGACTTTGCCAAGAAATGAAGATATTTTGAAGAAGTCAAAAAAAAATTAACATTGTTTTTTTTTTTTTTTTTTTTTTTTTTTTTTTGACGATTGTATATTTTGACAAATATCTCAAAATTTACATCACAGGCCCACATTTTTTCTCTCAGTCTTTTAAACTATGCAATACTTTCAACCGTTCAGCACTTTAAAAATCAAAAACTTGATACAAAAATGTTTTTATTACCTGTTCAGATTATTAATACCCCAAATATGATATTTTTCGTGCAAAAAGTCACATAATCATTAAATTAAATTGCAGGATTTTTCAATAATAAAAATCATAATAATAATGATGAACTCAATAATTGTACTTACAATTTAATTCCAAAAAGGTCAAATTAATTATATCGTTGTTCACTAAGTTGGACACTAACCCCCAACTTTTTAAAAAAAGATTTTGATTTATGCTACATGAGAATTGTTAAAATATACTTCTCCAAAAATCCTTCATAAACGCATGTGAGGAGTGACATACCTTACGACTTGACTAAAAATTCAAAACTAATGAAAACTATTCCATATAGAATCTTCATTTTTTTTTAAAATAAGAATAATCCTCAAGAATAATTTACAAAATCCGTTTTAACCCCTTCTCGGTTCTTTCATTGGAAAGTAATCGTGAAATTTATTTGAAAGTTATTGCTTTATATTAACATTGGCCGTGTTTTTCTACTTACTCAACCATGATATTGATTTGATTGCCATTATCGTGTATACGTAGAATATACATAGAAATGTACACGGGGAAACTCGCGCTAAAGTGAATTCACAATGCATGAGGCTACGGAGACGTTAATAAAAATATAAGGATATAGGGCAACGATAAATTCAAACATTGGGTATATTTTTGGTGCTTTTAAATACGTTACATGTAAACATAAGGATTGATTAATTTTAAGCTAAGTGTGAATTATTGGTGTGTAAATCATAGACTTGCAAGTAAGCCTATATTTTATGAAGTGTTAGCGCGCTTCATGAAATATGCCTACGTGACAAGTCCTTGTGATTTATTTACACCAATATCTCATATAAAACTTAAAAACATTCCATAATTCCTCAAAAGCTTGCTCTGAGAACTTTTTAAAGCGAGGCAGGCTACTCACTGATTAGTTGATGTTACAGGAATTTCAACAGCCTCGTTTAAAGTCAGCATTTTGTAATTTTATGGTCGTTATAATGACCTTGTTAGCAAATATAACCTATCATTGGGTCGTATTTTGGCGGACTTGTTTCATACCAATTGTTAGGCCTTTGTTTTTGTACTGAATTGACTACGGATAGTTCCGTCTACCTGATCAATGCATAGGCCTCACGACGGGCATGACCGGTCAACAAGGGATGCTTACTTCTCCTAGGCACCGGATCCCACCTCTGGGATTTCCAGGGGTTCACACAATACAAAACTTAAAACATTAAAACATTCCTTAATTATTCTTTATCAAGGAAAACTTAATATATTTGTAAATTTACAGCCCCTGAAGACATGCGCAGGTATGTTGAGGCAGTACCCAGATCATATTTCGGCGAATTTAGACTTTTTTCGTAAAATGTAACATTGATAAATCGGAAAAGCCATAGATAAAACATTTACTATAATTATCCATTGTATAGACGTCATTGAGTTTTAGGCTAAAAGAAGCACTCCACTACGACGTCATCACGTGACATCTATAAATAGAAAAATTGCCTTAATGAAAAAGTAGAAAGTTCAACACTTCCCCGGGGATAATTCAATTCTTTTTGTGAAAATAATTATGTAAAAACATCACTGGGTCATGAAAAGTGCTGCTAGAATCGTACTCTCCCGACACAGAAAAAAAAAATTATTCCAAAGTTTCGCATGAAACCTTACCAAAATTATTACATTTTGTACAAACGATCAAGGAATTTTCATCAATTCATGTTAATCACACGATTTTAGCAGCACTTTCCAAGTACTATAGAATACAAGCTTTCGATACAAACAAAAATTATGTCTCAAAGTATACGGCGTAGTGTTGAACTTTTGCAACTTTGTTGTTATAGAACGACAGAGTAAAGGCTGATCGGGATTTTAAAGCACTGCCTGTGTTCATTATAAGAAAAAATGATTAGAATATATCAGCGTACCTGATTCTTAATCTTTAATTCCTTATGAATCACACATAACATTCACGGTATATGCTTTAAAACTCCCATTTTACATATTTGTTTACGTGAATTCTCGTCACGTTTAATTTTCACTCTGCAAATATTTGATCAATATTTATGACGTCATGGGTTTGGTATTTGACCCCCGTGATAAATACTTAGCTGTTTATACCACCCGAAAACGACATGATTTTGTTTATATTATGTTTTTGAATGATTCCATTCATTTCTTGGACCTGAAATTAAATTTTATATAGAGATATTAAGAAATCATTATTTCTAAACTTCACGTCATACAGCTTACTATGACGTCATATTGTAGAGGCAAGTAGTGTATCTCTGGGTGTAGCCTTAACATACCCGCGCATTTAGTAATTACATGTATATCTATCTTAACTTGTACACTAGAATGATTTCTTTAGCACTGATTAAAAATCTCTACATGCAATATCATTATTAGCGATAAGACATCAAGAACTTTGTCTCTGTGCCCCCTGTAATGTATATCTTGCTTTTGTTTCAGATAATCTAGCCTTGCATAGCTCGGTTACGATGAGCTCCGTATATAATAATCCTGCATATGCCTTCCAGGGCCATGGCGATGGTAGTCTTGTAGTGGATGGAAAAGTGAAATCTAATGACACTGAGTGCTCTTTGACGAACGCTGACCTCCAGCCTTGGTTTATAATAGATTTACTGGACCACTTCTACGTCAGACGAGTTATTTTTGTGAACAGAAAAACTTCTGGTAATTCAAAGTATACAGTTTTCTTGCTTCTAATACCACTATTTCAAACCTTTTTTTCCATGACTTCTAAATAACCTCCTTGAAAAAGGGGCCATATTACTTTGCAACTGTCTGTCGGTCGGTAGACCGAGTGTTGTCCGCTCAATATCTTAAGAACCCTTTATTTTATAGACATCAAACTTGGTACACTGCTACTCCTTAAAGATTAGATGATCCATATTGATTTTGAGGTCACAAAGTCAAAGGTCAAGGGTCAAACTACTCTAGACATAGGAAGATTTTGTCAGTTCAATATCTTTAGAACCATTGCTTGACAGACCTTAAACTTGGTACTTCGGTTTTCCTAAAGAAGTAGATGAACTATTAATTTCGAGGTTGCAAGGTTAAAGGATAAGGGTCAAATTGTTGCTGGACATAGGAAGATTCTGAACGCTCAAAATATTGATAACCCTTTGTTTGGCAGACATCAAACTTGATACATGGTTCCCTTAAAGGAATAGATGACAACTATAGATATTGTTCTCACAAGGTCAAAGGCCAGGCTCAAACTACTTTAGACATTGGAATTTATTGTCCAACAACATCTTGAGAACCCTTTGCTTGATAGACATTAAACTTGGTACACTGATTCTCCTTTAAAAATGTAGATGACCGTTTTTTCTTATGAGACTACAATTTCCAACTGAAAATAGGAAAATATTGACCAATTTCTTAAGAACCTATCGCTTGACAGGCATCAAACTTGGAACACTGATGGTCCTTAAGGAGTAGATGAGCACTGTAGATTTTAAAGTGACAAGGTCAAAGATCAAAGAAGATATTGTCTGCTCAATATTTTGAGAAACATAAAACATGGTATACTGCTTCCCCTTAAAGGTTAGTTGACCCCTGTTGATTTATTAGTCATAAGGTCAAAAGTTAAGGGTGAAACGACATAGACACTAGAAATAAGAAGATAGCTCAGTTTCTCTTGCCAAAAATCAAATTTAATTTCTTGTTTATTTGGGGTTTTTTTTAATTTTTTTGTACTGAGAATACATTTTAATTTCCTCATGATACTTGCATGAAGTTAATATCAAAATATTTTTTTCATAAGTACATACATTTAAGTAAATTTCTGATCTTTTTTATTTCAAATCTGATTGGCAAAATAATTTCCTCATATACTTAATACCGTATACATATATTTCAAGCATACTTAATGTTTTTTTTTTTTTTTTTTTGTTTAATAAGCTTGCATTAAATGATTCTTAGACAAATAATTATATGTTTTGATTCATGAAAACAAATATCATCTAAATTATTTCTGACTGATTTAGAATGGCGTCTGCATGATTTGAACGTGACTGTAGGAACAAACAACGTGACCTTCCCCTGCTTCTGTGGATTTTTCAGCGGTCCTGGAACGTCTCATCAGAAGGTGGACATGGTGTGTGCAGAAACCTGTAGAGGGCGCTACGTACGTCTACAAATTACCTCCCCTGCTGCGGAGCATTTACAGCTATGCGAAGTGGATGTCTACAGTGATTGCAATATCTAACTTTAGCCTCATTGTACTTACCCTTTACAAAACAGTAAATTATAGTTCACCGTAGTTAATCAAAGTCTCGAAGTTTTTCCCATTAGTGAATCAACGTGTCAGTTTTTTCCTGTACTTTTTTTGATGTGGAATTTTAATTCTATATTAATTTTTAAAATTTTCAGATGCGTTTCTTATTATATATCAAAATGCGACATTTACTTGTATATTCAAATATTATTTCAAAGAATAAATCTGTTTAACAGAACGAAGCGGCCAATAGTAAACTTCCGAAAAAATGAAATAATTTTTTAAATACTTTTCTTTATGAATTACTTCTTTAATCCATAAAGTTTTATGATCTCTGTCAGTTATGTCCAAACTTTGCACTATAACTAGGGTTAACATGAGTAGGAGTATATTTTTTACATCAAAGTGTCCTGAAACTTTAGATGCCAAAACCATCACACCCCTATTGTCAGCCCATAAAACCATGGGGTAGTCGAATATCATTTTTCCTGAAAACAGATTTTAAAATCACAGATATCCTCTTAAATGAAAACATATACAAGAATAATAACTAACTTCATTTTAAAATAAACAAGAAAAAATAAAATAATAATAATAACTAGATGAGATCTCGTTGCGAGCAACGAGTGGGTCTTCCGTCCGATTTTTGATAAGATAAGAGTTTGACTGAGATTTTCGTTTTAATATAATGATATAAATAAATTGTTAAGACGAACAATTTTGCTTTAATAATGTTTTACAAAATATTGGTCATTAAAGGGTTATAGATTAAAGATTTTCGGCCCTTCTTGGCCCCTAATGTCAGAGGTCAGCCCCTTTTTTCTTGATATCATCTTAAAGCTCTCAAGATTTTGAGCACTTTTTGTTCAACAACTATTCAGAAATTCTTTTTTTGTTTTCGGGATATATGCAAAAGAAATATTAAGGGCCAGTCCTTCAAGTCCTAAATGGGGACGTCTAGCAAAAATTCAAAGAGTGCATATTGTTCAGAATATTATTTTGAACGTCTTTTGTTCAAAACTGTTTATCAAAATATGCCTCCTTTTCGAGACATATTGCACCAAAGATTATGCAATCTGGCCCCCAAAAGACCCCTTGTTGCGTAACATATGATATCAACATCATGTTATTTAGATAAAGTGTGTGAGAGAACTATTTCGCTTCAGTAATATATTACAAAATATTGATCATTAAAGAGTTATTGATTGTGTACTTTCGGCCCCTCTAGGCCCCTTATTTAAGGGGTAAGACCCTTTTCCTTGATATTCCCTTAAAGCTCTCATGATTTTGAACACTTTTTGTTCAATGACTAGTCAGAAATTCTTTTTCGTTTCTGAGATATTCGCAAAAGAAGTATTTAGGGGCCGGCCCTTCAACTCCTTAATGGGGACGTTTAGCAAAAAATGAAATATTGCATCTTGTTTAGAACATTATTTTGGACATCTTTTGTTCAATATTGCTAATCAAAATATTTCCCATTTTTGAGATATAAAGCGTCAAAGATTTAGCATTCTGGCCCCTTATGGCCCCTAATTATGTAACAAATGATGTGAATATCATAATATATAGTGGTAAATTGTTGAGATAAACATTTTTGCTTCAGTAATCCATTACAAAATATTGATCGTTAAAGAGTTATTGTTCAAAGACTTTCAGCCCCTCTCAGCCCCTATTATGAGGGTCCAGCCCCTTTTTCTTCATATCACTTTAAAGCTCTCATGATTTTGAACACTTTTTGTTCAACAACTAGTCAGAAATTCTTTTTCGTTTCTGAGATATTTGCAAAAGAAATATTTAGGGGCCGGCCCTTCAACTCCTTAATGGGGACGTTTAGCAAAAAATGAAAGGTTGCATCTTGTTTAAAACATTATTTTGGACATTTTTTGTTCAATATTGCTTATCAAAATATTTCCCACTTTTGAGATATAAAGCGTCAAAGATTTAGCATTCTTGCCCCTTATGGCCCCTAATTATGTAACATATGATGTGAATATCATAATAAATAGTTGTAAATTGTTGAGATAAACATATTTGCTTCAGTAATGCATTACAAAATATTGATCGTTAAAGAGTTATTGATTAAAGACTTTTGGCCCTTTTCAGCCCCTAATGTGATGAGTCAGCATTTTTTCTTTGATATCATATAAAAGATCTTGTAATTCTACACAATTTCTGTTCATTATGGTTTAACAAAATACTCATAGTTAAAAAGTTATCGTAAGAAATGTCTCTAAAATTCACTCATGATTCGTTTCCTAAATTTTGACCCCTACCGAGCTTCCATACTAGGCACTTCCGGAAGATTTGAAAACCCAGGTGATCAATGGCAATATGTCCCCTATCATCGCTGAAAATTTCAGCACTCTAGCTTTAATCGTTTTTGAGTTCCATTGCAGACAAGGAGGTCCTCTGAATTTTGATTAAAGGGCGATAACTTCCGACCGGAAGTGAATTTCAAAAAAATGAAAAAAACGTATAAGGTTCAGACAAAGAAACATCTTCCCTGAAATTTTCAAGTAAATCGATCGAGCCAACTCCGAGAAATCTTCTGCACAAAAATTGTAAAGAAAAAAAAAGAATAATAACTAGAAACTCATTGCGAGCAATGAGAGGTCTTCCGTTCGATTCTGAAAATAAAAACGAAAATTCAAGCTGAAAAAGTGATAAAAGAAATTCAGACACTGGAGATTTAACCCTGATCGTCAGTGTGAAAATCCAATGTGATTTCTTTGATCACTTCCTGTGACAAGCGGAAGTGACGACTGACTCGTTTAACCCAAATGGTTTCGCCTACTCCTCAAGGTCTATTACTCATAAAAGTTTGGTCTTTTAATATTTTACCTGCTTTTAAGATCTCGCTCAAGAACATTTCTCATTTTGAGGACAGAAAAACACGCGACCGGAAGTGAATTTTTGGAAGCTAGTTACACTAGACATTTGCACTCTGAATAACATATTCAAAATTCATTTTAAATACTTCATCTATAAAGAATATTTATGGGAAAGTAAAATATTCAAATTATTTAGTTTTTCTCTTATAACGTAGTCGTTTTTGTTTCCGGTGGGACCAGCATCTTTCGAATCTGCGAAAAAGATACAATAAAGTGATGTAATTTTTAATTAGAAAAAGAAAAGTTGAAATTTTCGATTTCTTTGATCACTTCCTGTGACGACCGGAAGAGACGGCTGACGCTCTGAACTCGAATGGTTTTGTCTACATCTTAAGGTCTGTTGCTCATATAAGTTTGGTGTCTTAATCTCTTACCGTGTTTGAGATCTTGCTCAGACAACTTACAATGTGATATTCTTTGCATGTAAAATTATATTTATATATGCTCGTAGTAAAGACACCTAAAATATTACATGGGTCTTTCAAAATGCAAGGATATTTAAGATTTCTTTTAAAAAATGAGAATAGCGCAGAATTCACAAAGAAGAAAACACTCAATATCGTTTCTAAAGATGAAAACATAAATTAAAACTAAGAAATGAGAGATTGATTGATTGATTGTATGTTGTTTTACGTCCCATTCGAGAATTTTTCACTCATATAGAGACGTCACCATACACCGGTGAAGGGCTTCAAATTTTGACCTTTACTCGGCACTCAGGGCCATTGAGCAGTGAGGGATCTTTATCGTGCCAACGCCTGCCGTGACACGGGACCTCGGTTTTTAAGGTCTCATCCGAAGGACCCGCAACTTTCACTTCAAAGTGCCGAGCGCATGGCGAAGGAACAGTTGCTACCTATTTTTTATCGACTTAGGTCTGTTGCGGCCGAGATTCGAACTCACGACCTTCCGATCACGGAGCAAGCGCTCTACCATCTAAGCTACCGTGAAAGGTAAAATGAGAAAGAAAATTCAGACATAATTCGGAATAAACCCAGATCGCTTGCTTTGAAATTCAATATGGAAACTACTACACCAGCGCAATTTTACCATTCATCATCGATTTTTACTTTGTATCAATGCTTGAAGTAACAAGCGTCAAGGAGGATAAAACTTTTTATAGAATGCGAACTAGCTAGCCAAATTTTGTGCAAGCAGATTAACATCGGAATTCGTTAATTGAGTTTAATAAACAATAACTGTCAGCAGAATAAATAAACTATTACTGATGAACTGATGATACTGTTTACTTCTTTTATTCCTTATACATATATATTCAACTTTTTATTCCATGCAATTCCATATACATGTATTTCATGTCCATGTTATCTTTATCTGCTCTTCTGTATCAGACCATTTGTCTATATGAAAAGGGAGGGGTGTTATAATACATTATTTCGCGCCAAACGTCACGAGCAAATCTTCGCGCTTTTCTTTAAAATGTTTGTTCCATTGAATGGTTTCCATCATCATATATAATATTCTATGTACCGTACAAATTACTAATTTTATTGCATTTGGAGGTCACAGTATTTATGTTTTCAAAGACCTATTATCCATTTCCAAAATCAGCCAAATCCAATAATTCCTGTACATTTCATCGGTCCTTATGCTTGTTTCGTTCAACAAGACGTTCGGCTGTCTCCGTAAACTACGACCAGCTCGTCGGAGTTTACGGAGACGGCCGCCATTTTGACCCCGCTTCAAATTTTAAAATGCAAATATCTAGAGTTTGAATTTATCAAATTTAAAACAAACTATATATTAAGTATTTTTGGAAGTGTTTCTATTAACCATAATAATATCAAAGAAAAATAATGAAAAACAAAAAAGTTGAAAAAATCCATTTGTGAAATTCGCTTCCGGTGGTGACCGGAAGCATCGACGACACACAAAAAATTGGTCAGAACATCTACAAGTCATGCTCTATCATCTTTGACATGTCTCACGTTCATATCTTTAGCCGTTCTAGAGGAGATAGAAAGACAAAAATCCAATTCAAAATCAAAAAATTGGCCATTACTTGGAACCGAAAGAGATTTTTCGAATTTTCTCCTCAAATGCACAAAGATCATAATAATGTCCATTATCCCTGAAAAAATCACTGAAAACCACTGAATAGTTTTTGAGAAAACGCGTGCACAAAATATGGGAGGAAAAATAAGAATAACAATAATAATAAGAAGAAACAGTAGAATCACTATAAGGTCTTCTGTGAAGACGGAAGACCTTAATAATAATAAAAGTGAAAAAGAAACAATAGAATAATAGAAGGGTCTTCCGTTGG